CCCCCATTTGTATGACCTCCACTCCCCCATCTTTTCACGGAGCAAAAAAGACTTGGCTCGTTAAGAGACCATTTGGAGATTAGGGATTGCAACATGGATTGATTTAAACCCCAAGTGCCTTTTCCTTATTTTTACACAATCATGGTGACATACAAGTTATGATTACTTTATGAGTTCTACTAGGGTGTTAGCCTCCCGCGTCTCTGGAGCCAAGCAGGATATCTTAGCAAACACAGAATATGGAAGTAGTTTTCAATGCCTTCTTCCACGTTATTGTTTGAAGTCTCCACCTAGCCTACAGCCCTTAGATTTCCTGGTGCTTTCTCATCCAAGTGGTAGCCAGGCCTGATCCTGTTCATCCACCACTTCCTCTGTTACAAGGAACTGCTTCTTCCAGGCTCCCTCGCAAAGGCTGCTACTGGTAGAGTAAGATTTAACTGCTCTTTCAACCAACTTCTCTTATCCACTAAGAGAACTAACTCTTGACCCACCAAATGTTCCGAAAACACAGATTGCTTGTTTTGAATTCTAACCCTTGAAACGGTTCCAGCAGAAGGCTTTGGATCTCAGTAAGAACCTCCCTTTATAACAACGGTCTTCTACCCAATTGATCCAAGAGGTTTGCTCAACATGCAACCCACTGCTGGAGAAGTAAAGCCATGTTTTCTTTGCTGGAGAAACAGAGACAACTGAATGAACATGCCAGTGACAGGGCTAAAGTCTTTTTTCTTTTTTTAATTTTATCAAATAGATCTGTACAAAAGTTAGCATTACTTAGTCAGAAGCCAGTGAACAGAACAGATAACTGACAACCTTCAAACTTTATACAGAAAAATAGATTGCATAAGAAGGTTTCCATCTTCAGCCCCACTCTCTTTTGTGCTCCAAGCCCACCTCCCACAAATATGCATTTTAAAGGAAAAGGTGAAAACGAAAACAAACCCAAGAATACGAAACATAGAAAAGATAAGCTAAATAATCTCTGAAAGTTTAAAGGTTCATAAAGATTTGTTTTTCTCTGAAAAGGCACAATGTTACCATTAGAATAGATGGTTGTTATATGCTCAGCATACAAAGCAACGAATATCAACAAAATGATTAGCCTACATCTAAGAATTAACCAAAATGTAGTGGAGAATGTTAATTTTCACAGCTTTGATGAATAACATCTGGTTCTTAAATAGGGCAATATTAAAGTGAAACTCAATGTGTAAATTCTGCTAAAACTGACGTTTCTTTAAGAAGAAGAAAAAAGCTGGGCCCCTCAGGCCAGTTCAAAAATGTAATAACATTTTCAAAAATAATTTTGTAGATTGAACTTAGCTTACAATGGGAAGAGAACCTATTAACATTTCCTTTTTCCATATTTAATTTCATACAGATTCAGCGAGATAGAGTGAATTCACTCCAGAGTCACATTTTGCCAGTACAGAAAGGAAGTTCCAGTGAAGGAATCACAGTGCAAAATATCAGGTTGCACCTGATTCCTCCGGCAGATTTTTTTATTTTCCCTTGAAAGATCCACAGATACAACTCTGGCCAGAAGCCCGTAACACACTTCACCAGGTAAGATATTGCATCTCTTTTCAAATGTGCAACCCCTTGCACGATATTTTTGCACGTGTGAAATTCCTAGCTGTGGCACAGAGGAATTTGGCTCGCCAAGCTGGTTTCGGTGAAGGCACTTCAGAGATGCTGCCGCAGCGGCTCAAGTGGGTCAGTCCCCCCACCAAATTGAGTGTGTTCAGTTAGTTTGATAGAAGTATCAATTCTGAGCCCCATTTGGCTCCAGCCCCCTGCTACTTGATGGGCAACGGATAAAAAAGGTGTTTAGAAAAAGCTGACTCCATCAAACCTCTCTAAATAAAAATAAATGTTAAAAATAAATGTTTAGAAAGCACTGGTATGGAGGCCCACTGCTTATTTCTGGCTGGGACACCATCAAAGGGAAGAAAATATCACTTCATCTGCAGTACCAAATATCAAGGTCGCCCGGTGACTCTGAGATGGAAAAAACGAGTCAGTGCCAGGAATTCACATTTACAATCCGTACCTTCAGGTGGCCAGAGTCCTGCAAAACCAGGATCAGACCTAGGGTGGGCTCCCACTACATTTTAAGGTGCGTCTTCTTCTAAGCAGGATACGCAGCACTGGCCATGGTGGCCTGGTTCTCCCAATTTACCAAGCCATAAATGATGATTTAGAAGCCGCACAGCTAAGCTCCCATCATCAACTGGGATGCATTCGGTTGTTCCAGTGGCAGTCTACCTCAAGTTCCAGGTGTGAGGGACAAACAATGGGGAGCGGCCATCACCTTTAGGTCCTACTTCATCACACCTGGAAGTGAGTGTTAGGCAGAAGCAGCCTGGCACGCCTTTCGCTCAAATGCCATGTGAACTCTGCCACTGAATGAACTGCTCACTTTTTCTCCACCTTTCAGGTTCCTGCATTATCATTGTTTCTTCTGAAGCATTTCTAATTTTCCTTTCTGACGGACCTTAAATGCTTTTTTCCTCTTTTTAATGAATAATTGGGGGGATGGGAAAACTCCTCCACTAGTTTATGCACCATAAAGACTTTTATTTTATTTAAATTCTACCTCTTGCACAGAATTACTTCATTAATTAAAAGGACAAAAATTAGATAGAACATAAATACATATTTAACAGATTTACCCCCAAACAATGACAAAAAATATATATATATATCACCGTGCTTTTTTAAGCTTCCAAACAAAATGTTAATTACAGCCAAACCTTGCTCAGAAGAACTCTCAACTAAAATTAAGAAATGCTGACATTAGTTGGTTGGTTGGTCCCAAAAGATTCTTGAATGGTCCCTCAGTACTGTTAATTGAACACTTAGGATTTAAAAAACCTACAAGGGTTTTTGTGCAAGGCTGATCTGTCCCTACTTTGCAACAAACCCTTAAGCACCATCTTCACCTTGACTTTTGCAGAGTCTTGGACGCAAAACCCAAACTTATCGCCAAGTCCTCACAGAGGAGTTAGAAAGTATCATCCTTCATCTATTCAAGAGCAATCATTGGTCCAGATGTTATTTAGTATTATTTACAATTCGTAATAAACAAAATAGAACTCTGTCTTGGAAAATCTAAGAGATTCTGGAGGGAACGCCCAGGCATATCGACAAAACAGGAGGCACTTCGGACCATGCAACAATGCTCCATTATGGTTCTTCTTCTATTATTATTATTATTATTAATTATTATTATTATTATTATTATATTTCTTTGCTCCATCTTTGTTTCTGTGTAGTGCATACTTTTGAAGGCTGGTGGGGGAAGACCTCAAAAAATCAGCTCCTTCCATCAGCTCAAGGCCTTGTCAGGGTTGTGTAGACTGGCTGGTCCCAGTTCGCACTGGGGCTGTGAGAAGGGGGTATGGACAGGCTGTTAAGGATGGGGGTGGCATACGGCCGGCGAGAGGAATGGAAATACGGGTACTGGTAAATGCTGGAAGGGTAGCCCGAGTAGGGGTTGTAGTAGTTGGAACTCTGAAGATCTGTGTAGTCACATTGGGAACTGGAAAAAGAACCTGTGGCTGTGCTTGGGGAAACGGTGGTGGCACACGCCTGAGCGGTATAGGATCCATAGTCCGAATGGGTTGGAGAGTTGTGGGGCTGCTCACTGTAATGGCTTGGGCTGAGCTGTTCGGTCTTGATATGAGGCCTCTGCTGGCTGGTTTCACTGGAAGAAGGGGACGCAGATGCAGGGCTCTTGTGAGTCCATCCCTGGGTGGCTCCACCAGTGTTGCCGTTGGCTGAATGAGAGTAAGAAGTCCCATAAGATCCTGCTGTGGAGTTCTGCCCATGACTGGCTGGCATGGCAGAGTGGCCATTGAGTGGCAAGTACTGGTCAAATTCATGGATGTCAAACGCCTCCATGTTGTTGATGACCTCACTGCTCAACTCAGAGATATCCACGTTGCTAAAATCAATGTTCTGCCGACCACTTTCCATGAGCCGCCGGCCCTCGTGCTTCAGCTCTTGCTTGCTCCCAGGGTGTAAGTCAGTCTTAGGGGTGGTAGGTGGCGTAGGAGGTCCATGAGGCTGCCCTAGAGAAAGTGTATTTAAAACATGGTCATCATCTTCAAGGGGAAGATGGTTTAGCTTAAACACCAGCCCTGAACGATGTACGGTGATCTTATTCAATAACAAAAATTAAACAAGAAGTTGACCTGCAGGAAAGCCAAGGATCAGCCGCTGGCTTCACCTTTATTTCCAAGAATGCTTTGGAAATCCTCCTAGGTCTGCTAACAAAATATGAAAGAGGCTAGGCTGCAGCCTAGCCCATTATTTCTATATGCACCCACCTACCAGGAAAATGACCAAGTTAAGCTGGGATGAAGAAGAGCAGGTGGGGCAAGTGGCAAAAGGAAAGGTGAGGAGCAACCTGACAAGTTTGCTTTCTGGACAACGTGGCCTTACGATGGGCCATACTCCTGTGGCAACCATTTGGCAGAGTGCCTACAGAATGAGCTTAGAATTCCAGATGTGCTAAGCACAGGGACTGTGGGGGAGACAAAGTAAGAGTTGACTCTATACTTACTAGAAAGTGGAGTGGAATATCCAAAGCTACCTTCTACCATTCCCACCTTTGGTCCACCTAGCTCAATACTGTCTCATCTGATAGGGGGATTCTCCTACATTTCAGCCAAGGGTCTTTCCAAACCTACAAGACATCAAGGATAGCATCTGGGACCATTGGCCTATATAGCAAACGTTAGCCTAACGGCTTTCCAAACCCTACATGTCTATTTTGTGAACTGCATACAGAAGAGACTTCCTCCTCAAGGTTTTTATAACAGTCTCTCTGATGGACATGGGGAACACGAAGCCAGAGATGGAGTGGACTCTCTGCAGACAGTTTCGGAAAGCCACTCTAGGTATAAGCAGCTGCAAGGAAGAGGAAACAGAAGCTATCGGGATAACAAGAAGTTGCCAAACTGTTGAGCACGAGCCAGCTGGAAGGACTATGCCGTGCATCTATCGAGAGCTATTATGACCAACGTCTGTACTAGTTTGTACTAGTTTTGCAAAGTTAAACTGAGTTTGCACTTCGATGAATGAAGTTAGTCTAAATCTGTCATGTGAATGACAAATTTAGGTGCCCCTATTGTTTTATGGTAGTTTTGTGGTTTTTTTATTGGCTTTTCTGGTTTTTATGATATAAACTGCCAGGAGTAAGTCAATTTAATAGAAGAGCATGCAAACGCATGCAGACGTCCATCAAATCTTCACACTCATTCAAAGGTGCCAGACTGGAAGCCCCAGATCCATTCCATGGATTTGAATGAACCACATGAGACATTTTGGAGAGGTTGGGAAAAGAATGGAAGGAAGGGGAGACATAATCAAGGGACAGAAGGCGAGTCTGTTGCCAGCTCATCTCATAAGCAGCAACTCAGCCCAGGTGGGGAGAAACCCATTTCAGATCATGCAAATGAACTCCCTAGAAAGGAAGCCGGGAAATTGCTCTTGCGGTTTCCAGGATTCTGCATTTGCCCCTAATTCTAGCACTGAAGAGACCTTATTGAAATCTAACGCTCGCTTCCTTGGTCTTGCCCGGCTGATGGCAAGAACTGCATTTTGAACTGAATTTTTCTTTTCATGGAAGCTTCACACAGCCCTTGCATAACGTGCATGTCTGCACCCACACATATGCCAGGGAATGCTCTGAAGCTGACAAGGGCAAATGCTTGTAGAAATCTGAGCAGGTGGTCTGAACAGCAGCAAAAGCTACTGATGATTTTACATGCCAGAACTGCATGATCACCAAGACACTCTTGCTTTATAACGAGGATAGATAAGACATCAACACTCTATTGCAGTGTTTCTCAACCTTAGCGACTTTAAGATACGTGGACTTCAACTCCCAGAATTCCCCAGC